TGTGTGTGTGTGTGTGTGTGTGTGTGTGTTTGTTGGGGTAAGATTATGATGGAAACATTGTAAGTGTTTAGGCTTTAAATTCAACTATTCTGTCCTTTTTATTTGTTAGTGGTTTTGTACCACTGTGTACGTATGCTACAAGACAAACTGAAAATGGTAAAGTGGGAATGGAAACTTTAATTTATTAAACCTATAGTTATGCGAGAAGTGTAGACTTTGTTGTGAGTGTTGTAAAGCTACATTGACTCATATTTAATCATATAGAATTTTTCTTTGCTGGCCAAGACCAACCCTTGATGAATGATCCTCACAGAAAGATGGAGATACCTGACATAGCATCTACTGCATATAGTATTGGAACTCAAATTCAGAGCCAAATTACCGTACTCCAAAATCATTTGCAAGACATAGATTTTGTTTTTTTTCAGGTGGTTTTCTAGTGACCTGTCGTACTTCTCTGTTTAATTTTTATACCTAAGTTCTATTTTTTTACTATGGGTTCACGGTAGTCTTAACATTTTCACGTCGTATGGATAGTAGAATGAAGCATGCTTGATTTGGTAGCAAGGTGCTTCTTTTTTTTTTTCATTCTTGATAAAAGTTCTTTTGTTTCTTACACTTTGTTTTCCTTTTGGGGGGGACGGGGAATGAAAAAAAATTGGGGGGTTTTTTGTACGTCGTTGTAATTCTTCATGTATTGTTTTTCCTTTGACAGGTGGACCGCTATTCATGTTTACTGGAGCTGTTGATGGCTTCCCACCAGCCCGTCCTTCTTTCAGGCTCTCCAGGTGTTGGAAAGACCTCTCTTGTACAGGTAATTCATATGTTGGGTCATCACCTCTGTCAGCTGGCACAGTGGTTCAAGCATTAGGTTGTGCTCATGACAGGCTGAAGGTTTTGGGAATTAATAGAGTTTCACTTTGAACAATCCCAGTGGGGTTTTTTTTTACACTTATGGACAGTAATCTTTTCCCTATTTAGTCTGATTCATTGAATTGTTTACTCCAGAAGCAAAATAATGTTGCTCTTATTGAAAAATTTTTTTAAATGTCTAAGAGAATGAGGGCAAATAATTGGAGGACAACTCAAGACACGCTACCCTTTACCCTAGAAATATCTGTTTTTCCTTAAATATGAAAAGAGTAAATGTATCCAGAACATAAATTTCAATAGCCAAATACAAACTGAGTCTTGAGGAGGAAATTTTAATCCCTGGTAAATATATAGGAAGCAGGTCAGACACTCTGTCTCTTGCTTAAAATGCATCTAAAAATAACAAGAGCATGTCTGTGATCACTCATCTGTTCTCACACAATATATGTTTTCTCTCACAACTGTGCAGAGCATGGTCCTGGCAAAAATGCCGTCCTCCTCCGTGACCATGTCCCGTGGACTGACTGCATCCATCTTCCAGGATTTGCTGATGGGTCATGTGCTGGACATCCAGAGCAAGACCAATGCCGCTGTGGGTGGGCCGGGGGCGGGAGCTGCACCAGTGGCTCAGAGACATCTCTTCTTTGTGGACGATCTCAACATGGCCCCGGCTGTGGGAGGTCTGTTTCTTCACATATTTTTATGCTGTATTAAAGTTATATTTTTAAAATTGTTTAATGCTCAACATAGTCCCAGCTGTATCTGGTCTGTTTTCTTTTCTTTCTCTTTTTCTCTCATATTTAAATTTCATTATGTCAATAAAACATAATATGATGACTTTTTACCTAAGAATAAAGGAACAGATTTTTACTCCATGGGTTTGGCAGACAGTTTCATAGGCAGATAATCAAATATGCAGATAGGCAGAAAGATAGATATGAAAATATATACATAGGTAGACATGAAAATAAACGGACAGGTGTATATAAAGATGCGCCGACTTTCAGACATGAAATAGACAGGTGTATATAAAAGATATGCTGACTCTCAGATATATTGCCAGATATTTTCATATAACTGTACATTTCTGTACTGTTTGGTGTTTTAGGTTACCAGCCTCCCCTCGAGCTGATTAGGCACATCCTGACGGAAGGAGGAACATATGAGAGACACAGGAAGGAGTTCCAGAAGACAGAGGAGGCTGCCTTCATTGCGGCCACCACTCTCCCAGCTGCTGCTGGTAACCCTTTAATGTCCACTGTTTATGCTACTTTTCAGCAAATTGTGTGCCATTTGCGTCCAGCCTGAAAAGTTTGACGCTCCAAAACGAACAGCCCCCCCCTAAAAAAACAACAACAACCGTCATTCTTTGTTCAAGATCGCTGATGTGGGAAATAAATTACCCTCCATATTTAGTATTGCAAATTGGTCACTCTGCCTTTATTGTCCTGTTTTTTTAATGGCTTTGTCTGTCAAATTCGTTTGTCAATTCAACGGACACCACAGACAATGGCAACATCAACAGTTCTTGAAGTTTTGACAGAGACTGGGTTAAGAGTACAGCTCAAACTCACTTTCTGGCTTTTGCTGCAAGTTTTATGTTGTGTGTGCTTTTTTACAAGCAGCATTTCCTCTGTATTGTAATCCTTGTCCCAATCAAAATCCTTTTTTGATTCTCCTGATTCAGTATTTTTGTCTCAAACAAGTGATTGGATGGATTGCCTTGGAAATTCCAAAAACAATCCCAGTTTTAAAATGCGACATTGGAGTTTCAAACCAGTCATCTGAATTGTTATAGTCTCACACGATATCAAATGAGCAATGATATGCCATTTTTTCATAAATAAATTTCTTTTGCCTATTAGTTATTCTTTAAAACTACCTATATTTCAGCTTTATTTTTCGTTCTCTTTCTTTTTCTTTTCCCCTCAAAATTACCTCAGGAACGGGACTTGGCAACGCCTGTCATGTGATGTCATCGCGACTGACTCGACAGTTTGTCAACCTGACTGTGTTTACCCCCTCTGGAGACGCGCTGCTGACCATGTTCTCTAGACCGTTGCAGACGTGGCTAGAGGAGTTCCCCACCTACTCAGTGGAACATCACTACGAGTTTGCCAAAGTGAGTAGCTGACTCATCTTCATCATCATTGCCTTTCTCACCCTGCACCAGGGTATAGGTCACGAACAAACCATTTCCACGTTTCTCTACCCTGGGCTAGCCTCTTGATGTTATTCCATGTCTTCCCAATTTTCTTTACATGCAATTTCTGTGATTCTTCTCCAGGTTCCACGCAGTCTTCCCCTTGGTTTTTTTACCCTGTGGATTCCAATTCAACACTTTCTTTGTTATGCAGATGCCTGACTTCCTGAGAGAGTAACTTACTGGTTTTGTTGAAAATGTTTTGCGTCCCCATTGACACAATTGAGGTTCATTTAGGAGATGGGCAGCCTTGACCTTGTCTTTCAGGGCCCACATCGAGATACTGTTTCCAACAGACTGATGGAGACATTTGATAAAATAACTTCACCTTTCAGGAATTAACGCTATCGTTGCCTTTGGGGTATGTGTTTCAACTGTCAGCCCTACTTTTCAGCTGAGCTCGTTACCCAGGACAGCAGTCTCATGTCTCAGTGTTAATGGATGCGCAGTCTAGATCTAGTGCACTCGTGACATATTTTGGACCTCAGGTCTTCGATCATTTCACTTGTCTTACTTCTCTCATTCCTTATTTCCTTCCATCTTACTCATAGTTTTGTATAACTTGCAAATCTAAGTAAAAAAGGAAATTTTTTTGCCTTATCTCACTAACCATGGAGACACTTGAGCTACTGGAGCCCTCAGCGATTTTACTATCTCTTTTTGAATCTGCCCAGGCCATGTCTGAGGGGATGCTGGAATTGTACCAGGCTGTGAAGGATCGCCTCCGACCCAGCCCGGCCCACGCTCACTACATCTTCTCCCTCCATGATCTGGCCCGAGTTGTTCAGGGGATCATGCTCATGTCTCCGAGGACTCGCATCAAGAAGGTCAAGGTCAAGAAACGAGAAGGTGGGAGATTGTTGTTGACTCATGTCTTTAAATTGTAAATGTTTTGTGTAATGCCCCTATTGACATGACTGATTACTTGAGAGGCAGGATGCTGTGACCTTGCTTGTCTTTCCTGACCCTAGCTGAATGGAATAGGCCTACCATTAACCTGAAAAATGCAGAGAAATTACTTTGTTAAGTAGTCAAGGCTTGTTCCCACAGTCTGTATGATGCAGTTGCAGTCTAGAAAGACTGGACTTTATTGTTTGAACAGGGATATTGAAAGCATGGTCTCTCTCTGGTTGTTTTTGCATAGACTTGTGCCATGTTAAAACACATTTTCTTACTTTAGAATACATCAGATTGAGTTTCAATGTAGTTAAATTATACTCTTTATCAAGAGAATAAGGGTTTTCTTAAGTCATTTGAAGCTGTTAGTTTTTTAAAAAATGCAGAATGTGTTGTAATACTCCTGTTTGTCTTTCCATGACAGCTGAGAAGTTGGGCAGCCTGAGGTCACGTAACCCAGAAGTGAACTCTGCTCCAATGATGCGGGTCATTGCTCAGCTCTGGTGTCATGAGGTATCCAGGAACTTTGGTGACAGAATTATCAACGCTGATGGTAAGGAATGAACTGTTTTCCTGCTTGCTATGTTATATATTAACTCCTTATCTCCGGCAAGTCACTCCCAGCGGCTCGCGGTTGGAACAGCTGAGCCGGTGGACCGCTGGCAGTAGTTCGGGCACCTTGGTTTACGATGACTTAGATGTCAAATTGTATTGAAATAGGTTCACTTATTGTGTTTTAATGAGAAATGTAAATTTTAGATTTCATAACAAAAAAGGGCCCGGCATAGTGGGTTTACCCCCCTCGGAGATAAAGAGTTAATGAAGAAATGAATAAAGATCATTTGCCATTCTTCTGTTTTGTTCTTATGCTAGTGTTTCATCCCACCAGATTTAGAAAATACACCTTTGCCATTGAATCAATCATTTTTTTTTTCAGAGGAACTGTTTGGTATTGCATTTCTATGTAAAAGTTTGATATGCCCAGCGAAAAAGGTTTTTAATTTATTTTGTGTAAGGATTTGCAGTATACAATGTGGAGAATATGTGTGCATGACACTGGCCTGAAGCTGAATGAAATAATGTGCATATATAGCATAAGTTTCTGTGATGAATTGGAATGATATTTTTTTTTCTTGTTCAGATCAAGCATGGTTCAGCAAAATGGTTGAGGATGTGGTGACCCGACACTTTTGTTCATCTCGCGATGATGTTCGGCCAGAAATGTCTGCTATATCGGAGGAGCCAACCATGTATCGCGTATGTTGTTTTTGGCTCTTTCCACTACTTACCTTGACATGTTTCTAAATACTTTGTCGTTTAATTTTCAACCCAAGTAGGTAGACTCACTCTGCATAAGTTATCAGAAAAAGCGCAATGCATCTGTTTAAGGAATTTAAAAAAAAACTAATTTTTGAAAAAATATATTCCTGTAAGTGCTGTTCTTGACAGTTGTAATTTGCCTTAGAAGTACTCACATAGTGTTCTTCTTTCCAGAAAATGGCAAGCATTTCATTTTGTAAAGAAAAAGCTAAGCACAATGTGTTTTATTTCTGTCTTATGATGCTCAGTCTGAATGAAATGAGGGAAGATGTGTAAGTTTTATATTCTAGATGAAATTTGTATATATTCTCACTGCTTTTTAAAAATTAAAACTGTTCTTGTTTAGCATTAAGCTTTACTAAACTATTTTTCTTTTTTTTTACTTCCTCGTTGGTTTGTTTTCTCAACCTTCTCATGCAAAAAATGTATTGTGACAACATTGTTGATATAATCTCAATTTTGTCCTGTTGCAATTTTAATTAGCAATGGTTAACTCTTTCGGAACAAAACCCTCCATTGATAGACATAAGGCTATCTTATAAGCTACTTCCTTTAAAGAGTTATGGCTAATCCCAATAGCATGGAGCAATTATTTTATCGAATGCTACAGTATATTTGCGAACCTTGTTAAATGTGATAGGAAAGTTTTGGAGTTTAAGAAAGAGGAGTATATCCATTTGTTTTTATTGGAACACAGAAATCCCCACCTCTTCAGCGACGACAGTTTGCATCCCCGCCACCCAAAATTGCCTCTCCTTGTGATGATGATGAGGAGGAAGAAGAGGAGGACTCTGGAGAGACAGATAAGGCAAAGACAGACGCTCTTATGGAAAGACTGAATGTAACATCCAGACAGGAAGGAACCGGACCTTCATCGTCTCGAGCGTCCAAGCGTAATGGGGAGGAGGGACTGAGTCCTTTAGACATGCAGTCTGCCACGCAGGCAAGGTGAGCCCAAGCAGATTCATGTTGTGTCCACAATGTAACTTTGTGCCTCGGATATCTGTGTCGATGTAAGACATGATTGGGTCCTGCTGCTCTGTTCACCGATACATGTGTACCCGAGACCCCCTCCCCACCTCCCGTCTTGTCCCTTCCAGTAAAAATGTCGCTAGCACTTACTTTACTTTTCCAATCCAGCTGGGTTCTAGCCCTTTGGCCTGTCGATATGGTAAAGAATTTACAGTTTTTTATCAGCTGTGTTTTGTCGTTATATAAAATATTTCCGATATCTGGGAAGGCAGGTAGGTAGGTGCTATGCAGTGGCTAAGTGCATGGCAGATAAAGAGATGGTGTGATACTGTTTCATTCTGGCGGGCAGTCAGGTGGGGTATCCGTGCGGATCCTATTTAGGTAGAAACTCAGGGGGAGATGTTGTGTTCGCTGGCAAAAGATAGTGACTTATTCTCTTCTACTCAGAGAATAAAAAAATATGGAAGGCTTCTCGAATTTGCGTGTCATCCTTTCTCAGGGGCCATGCTAATCTTCTCTGTATTGTTCCAATTTTAGTATATGTATTGCATGAACAGTACAAATATCGCATGTCCCAGCTTTTATCACCAAATGTTCCTATGCTGAAAACTGAACTGTGATGGGAATGTAGCTCTTTGTAATGCCTTTGTAAAAGAGTGAAAGTCAGCAAATGCTTCTGTAGTATATATGTTTATGAGAAAAGAAAGTTTCCCTTTCTAAGAACTGTGAAAGTCCTGGAATGAATTCATTATCAGTTCGTGTATCCTTTAATCTACCCTTTTCTCATGGCTCAACATGCTTGTGTTTCAAACACGAAGGCAGAAAGTACAATTTAAGAAAGTGAACTGAATTAACGTAAAAGCTTCTCTGCATCCTCAGTTAAAAGAAAAGTGTTGCTAAAGAACCAAGGAGCTACGTATTTATTTTAGTTTGCTGTTGTTATGTTCTGTTGTTGCCCATCCCAGGCCAAAAGATAAGACAATGTGATCATTTTGCTATTCTAAACACAAATAATATGATTGTCTGAGGAAAGTGAGCTCATGTCAGAAAAATGAGCAGGACTACAAAATTTGAGGTGCTGCTATATATTTTCATGTAAATCCATGCAGTAAAGTAGCTATATGTTTTGCTGTATTATAAAGTGGTAATAAAGTATCTCATTTGCCCTTGTCCACCAGTACTCCTCGTAGTGAGTCGAGGTCTGCGCTGACCGGCGCAACATCGGTTCAGACAGCGACCACAGAAGGTGCCACACACGTCACGTCGGAGTCAGATTCTCTCTCGGAGTCCAACAGCCAGCTCGACAAAAGCATCGTGTCCACCACCACAGGCGGTCGAGAGACCGAGCTAGGTTGGTTCTGGAATTGTGCTATGCTGACCTGTGTTTTTTGTTTAAGAATTAAGCTTTGTTGTATATCCCCCCCCCCCCCTGTCCAAATTAAAGAATGAATTAAGCCTTTCTCGTTAATTATTTAACTGCAGAGTGTCCTTCCCTATCCCACTCGTGAAAAGGAAAAGATAGCAAACCTAACCTTTTATGGCTACTTCCATTGCACCCAAAAATGTATTATCGTACCTAGAAATTTCCTTGGTATTGATTGATTCTTCTCATACATTAACAAAATAGAGTGTAAGAGACATGGGTACTTGGGTCTGGTGTGTATCTCAATAATAAAGATAAAAAGATGTTATGCCTTGCATGATTTACCCCAACCATCTCACCCTCCTATCCAAGACTGCCCCTCCCCCCCCCCTTTCCTCTAACTAGCTAACATGCTCTCCCATGCCCCAAATCTCAAAAAGAGCACCAAAAAAATCATTGTTCACATAGTCAGATTTTTTTTTTCTGTAAAACTTGTTCAAGCTCTTCATTTCAGCCTATGTGGAATCTGTATTCAATTTATTTTATTTCTAGTTTATTGAATTAATTCAGCTACTCCAATACAGTCAGTTTTAAACTGCTTGCACAAGCTCTTCATTTCGGTCTATGTGGAATCTGTATTTAATTTATTTTATTTCTAGTTTATTGAATTAATTCAGCTACACCAATACAGTCAGTTCTAAAAGCAGTTAATATCCTTCATCCCACACAGGGGACATCCATGAGGCAGAGACGGAATACGATGGAGAAGGCACCGAGATTGGAGACAAAGTGACCACTACCCAAACGTCTGATGACTCGGATGACTCGGATGACTCTGACTCAACATCTGAAGTGTCCAGTTCCTCAGCCACAGAGACTTATGCCAGCATGTCAGGTGAGTTGGTTTGCAGATCTGACTTTTTGTGTGTCAACCGTGAATGCTTGTGTCACATTTAAGTGTCTTTTATTTATGTAAGATGAAAAATTGAGTAATTTTAAAGTTGTGTTTCCTTTTTATAAAGTTTTTCTTATTTGTGAACCTTCTTTAAGCTTTGTGCACGTAATTCAATGTTTTTGAAGCTTTTAGCGTTTGTCAGTAGGCCACAGCACTTCAGTACCTTAGTACAACTGCTTGCATTGCTGAGACCAGACATTTAAATTTGTAAGACCTGATACATTTTCAGAATTAGCCTTATTTCAGACTTTACTGGAGGGTAAGGGGTGCGTTCTTGCAATTTGGTTAAAAGCATGAGAAAAGGGGAGGGGGGGGGCTGATTGTTTACACTTACTCCTTTTACTCCTTTGCTTTAAATGCTTTTTTTTTTTCACCTTTTGATATCTGGATGGTTTTCTTTTCATGCTGTTGATTTTTGTCTATGTTACATTAGCATGGTATATTGTGAGCTATTTTCTCACTTTTGAGTGTTTCTTTCAGCTGTGAATAATTTTGTCATCTTCCTGGCCTGTCTAAAGTGGACTTTTAGTTGGCCATAGTGTGACTAAAATACACAAGGGCTTCCTCTGTGAATGAATAAAAAACTTTTTGTAAGGCAACTATGTTACAATGAATATGTTGTCCTCTTTTTTCTTATTGTCCTATCTCTGTGTAACTGACTGAGTAGATGGAAACTGTACACTGCTGGATTGATGAATATACAGCAGCAGCTACATCCAAAAGTACTTGTGCTTTAAATGTTCTTTCGTGTAGGCTTATTCAAAGTCAAAACTTCCTACACAGTTTTGGGAGAAGGAACTAAACTCATACAAACACACTGAGAGTGCTCCAGCGTACTTGTGGGTAAAGCACATTTCACAGAAGCCTGACTTCTATTTTTGCAATGGTTAGGCTTTTTCCTTCATTACACGGAAAACATGTGAGTTTGACACATATTTACTGAAGTAATTCTGTCCTGTATCTCTGTCTGTTGGGATGCTTTTATGCCAGTCAGTCCAGAGGCACCCTGTCTTGCAAGGTGGAAGCAGCCTGTTTCCTATATCATCTATTGTATGTTCATGGAAGTATAAAACAGTTAAAACCGTTATGATTATTACAGAAGCGGGTGATCGCTCCGTGCTTAAATCATCTCTCGAAGTGGCTGAGCAGGCCCTAGCGGCAGTTCCTCCTGGTAAAGTCTGCAGTCTGTTAGATTGTCTGTTTTTGTGTGCTCTCAGCATTCCCTTCTTGTGCTCCCCTTGTGGTTCTTTCACACATCTGAATACTTTTAACTGTTCCAAAGTCAGAGCACATCGTGTTGGTTTGTGTTCAGCATCGTCATTGTTGTAACTCAAACCGTGTGTTTATGGTAGTTTTCTTTTTTTTTTTTAGTTTTCCCATAACAGTTTGAAGTGTTTCAGTTTGGCTGTGTGGACACACAACTAATCCAGAGACTGTAAAATGTGAGAGCTCTTCTTTCATTGACATGAAGAGATGAACACTGTTTATAAATCCCTTTTGCACTAAGGTTCATGATATGTTTTTCTCTCCTTATAGCGCCTTTTTTTTTTTTACAATCTCCATCCGTTACTAGTCTAGCTAAAAAGTTCATCGACTGCACTTTCTCTACCTTTTCATTTTGATCTTGTACTTTTATTTTTTCAGTTCAGGGCGGACTGTGCCTATTTTTCCTGTTTTGCAAACATTTGTTTCTCAGCTTCATATTTTGTGGAATTATTTTAGCTGACCGTGTTTTACACGCAGGAAAATCTCTTGACACGTTTTCAATTGTGTGTTGCTTTAGAGTGATCTTATTCTTGAAGATTTAGTGTGTGCACCCATAAGACATAAAGCAATTTAATGTTGTACAGAAAAGTAGTCTAAACATTTGCTTGGCTGGAGTCACTAAAAAAACTGATGCAATACCACAGGGAGTAGGAAAAAGAAAAAAAGGAAACGCAAAACAAAACATGGTGGTAAGTTCTTGTAACAACATGCTATCAAGGCAGTGTAGAAAATAGAGAAATATATAATATATAGCTGATCTCCTCTATACTTGATAGAAGGTAGAGAATCACTACTTAGCTTTCTTCGTCTCTTGAAATTTTTTCCTTTGAATATCCAACTGCGTCTGAAAGTGCATTACATGTATCTTGCTTTTCTTTCTCTGTTTATTCTTTTACTGTTTAGTTTGTACTCTAAGCCTATAGGCTAATTTCTACTTCAATCAGCTTTACATTTTGAAAGAATGTTGTACATGTACAAAGGGTGTAACAATTAGGGAACAAGGAATCATGACTTCATTTACGTCTTCATGCATATTCAAAGTCCATTTATGGTATAAAAAATTGTGTCTGTGTGGTTTGGGGGTGGGGGGGGGGGGGGGGGGGGGGGGGTTGTTCTCAGTTTTTTCTCGTAAAGTTTTTTCTACTTGCTTCTGATTTTTCTACCAGTACTCATGAGTACCATATTTGAGTGGAAATGTATGAGTAATGTCTGAGATTAAATAGGAAAATGGCCATATTTCAATTACTATCTAATATTTTTCAATTCTGTAAAAAAAAGTATTTATTTGTCAGGGGAATCTCAGATTTCCTTACACTATTAGAATGCACAAAAAGAAAGCAACCATTTTAATATATCACAACAAAGATGGCAAATGCTTTACAAAATTGGTCTAAAGGAAAATATTAGAGCTGGAATTCGTTTTCTTCACACAAAAGGGATAAACCCCACTGAAGTTAATGCAGAACTTTAGAGCGTTTATGATGAGACTGTTTCAAGCAAGTTAAAGCCCTACCATTGGTCCAATCTATTTAAAGAGGGATGTACGATTCTACACGACGAGCAAATTGTAAGCCGTCATCTGCCTACCAGCATGGAAAAAATTGCTGAACGCATTAAACAACTCCTTTATAATGACAGGTGGTTCAAAAGTCCTGAGATTTCTGATGCTCAAGATACTTTTAAGCAACCGTTCCTTAATGCAGCCACAAACTGTGAAACCCTCCAAAAGCTAAGAGCAGCAGTGCATCGTAAAAGCTCAGGAGAGCATTATCTTACAACATGACAATGCTACACCCCACAATGCCGAGGTAACCAAAGAATTGCTGGAGAAAATTTTTTAAAGAGGTTTTAGTTTAAACCCTTCCACCTCACATTCCTGATTTTGATCCTTCAGACTTCCCATCTGTTTAAAACAATGCAGTGTTGTCTAGCCAGGAAGAAATTCACAGATGACACGCACCTTGTGGAGCATGTCAAAGATTGGCTTTGCTCACTCGACGCAGAATTCTATAGAGATGGCATGTATTTACTCTTGCAGCAATAACAAAATGTGCTTGACAGTTTATGAGGACTATATATGAAAGGAGTGTTAGCCAACTGTCTAAGTTGCATCTTCATCAGGACAAAACTTTTCATTTTATAGTCATTTTCTTGTTAATTCTGGGAAAGCCCTCGTACACGAGTATAAATTTGTATTGATTTCTGACACTTCTATTCCTTCTTTATTTTATTTATATTAACCTCTATTGGACTGTCACTGTGAGTTAAGGAAATATAATCAGTGTAAAACGATGGGTATGAAGACATGCCTGGCTTGTTTATCCTCATCTTGTCATCTGATGTTTACTTTAAAGATATATAGCACAGCTACTAATGTTGAGCTTCACAAGGAAGTCTCCTTGGTTACATTGCAATAAGAATATCTAAATTAAATTCACATTGTAGCTGCTTCCACAAATTTACTTATGAAATGTATATAGATGACTTTCTTTTAGACTTGATATATCCAATATGCCTCTTTTAAACTTTTATATCGTAAAGTACTGAGACTGATTGAATCTAAAAATAACTGCTTGTAACTGATATTCAGTGAAAGGGCCAAAATACTAGTATAGATAAAGAATAACGACTCCAGGTTTCAACTGATTTGAGGTTTGACATGTAATAAAGTTGCTGTCGTTACTTTGGCATGAGGACTTTGCTATAGATGCCTTTGGAGGTGGTGTCTTAATTTTCTTACACCTACAAACAACTGCATGTATGTAAGTTTGAAAAAGGTGCTTTTCTTTGCTGGATTGTTTTTACCTCAAGTTTAAGAGTGTCTCGGGCCAGAAATAATCTCTTCTGTATACTATATTTTTGTCTCATTTTGAATTTATTTCTTTTCCTTCTAGCTAACTTATATTATTTCCTTGATTTTTTTTTCTCTGAGTACTTTTGTTTCTCATTCTGTAGTGTTTTTTTTTGCTTTTGTAGTGCCACCATTTTGCACCTACTTGTTGTTTCTTTTGTTGCACTAGAATGGGCTAAAGGTTCGCCAGAATTGCTAGCATGTAGCTCCATGATTCTGGAGCAGAATCCCACCCGAGAAAATAGCTCTGCTGGAGAGTTCATCACTGGTAGGTACAGTGCTGTAGGTACCAGAGTCTATGCTTTCACAGGATACTCGCCTGCACACGCACGCATGCTAACACACACATACACCCCCCCCCCGCCACACACACACACTCACACACTCGTACATATACATATACTCACACATACGCACACACACACACACACAAACACACACACACACACGCACATTCACTCGCATGTACATTTTCAAACCTGCACTAATACATGCGAGGTGGAATCAGGCACTCGTCAATTTTTGAGCATGTAGACTTATTGGCAACATCTAAAAGCCTGTTCGTTTGCCTAACTTTTGATGAAAAAAAAACACCGTTCTATCTTGAATAGAAGTTGAGATATTTGCGATTGAAGAAAAGGAGGTCGCAGGGTTTCAGAAGTAAAAGTAGTGAGAAAACGGCTGCCAAATTGTGGTGACTTTCAAAGCTTGATAGTGGCTGAAAACTGCAAATTTGCTTTTTCTGTGCATTTAATCAACGTTTTTCAATAAAAATCCACTCTGAAATGTGTTTTTTAATAGACATTAAAGGTGTTAGGCCAGAAAACAAAAATTCAATAGAAGTTGCCTAACCGGCGGAAAAATAGGGCCTAGGCTACCTGTTTCTTCTATTTCATGATTTTGACAAGCGCCTGATATCACCACGCTGCCTCACATATAGACTATTTTAATTAGTGCTTGATTTCAACACAATGACACACACACACACACACACACACAAGCACGCACACACACACACACACACACACACACACACACACACACACACACACACACATACACACTGTGTGTATGTATATGTGTTTAAGTGTGTGTTATATAAAGTCTGCACAGTTAATGTGTAGCATTCAAGCCTATCTGTTGACTATACTTTACACAAAGTCAGAGACATCATAGATTTATGTTCTGAATAAACTGTACTTTTAGTAGTCATAGTAAAATTGTGTTTATGGAATGTTTTATAGAATATCACTATACCATTATAATACCTTTTTTTTTACTTGCATATTGCTTCCTGTCTTTTATGGAAACTTTTACTTTACCGAAATTTTAAGAACTGTATTCTTGTTAAGAAAATCATTGTTTTTGCAAATTTTCTAATTTATCAGAACAAAATATCACTTTAGAATTGAAAGAAAAATCAAAGCTCTATTTAGACATTCTTAGTATGAAATCATTGCATTGTTGTAAATATAGAGCATTTTGTGTTTTCTTCTGATTGAGATTCTACGTAATTCTTCCTGCTTGTCTTTTGCAAAATACCTATTTAGTATAACATGAAAATGCAGTAAGTGAGAAACATAGGTTAAGACATTTCGTAATATTACCAAAGTAGAAAAAAAAAGAATAGGACAAAATGCCAGCTATGTTGAATATGTGTGCATTTGGTATATGTATTATTAGGCTTCGTATACATGATAACACACTCAGGCGCAGGCAAAATAGGGAAGTATTTTCTCAAAGCATAATAATCTATAATTCTCAAATAGCTTTGCCTTTCTTCTAAAAGGTGTTGTAGATTTACAGCTCATTTTGAAAGAACCTAACAAAATGACAGTTTCAGAGTCGGGGGTATTTATTTTTTAAAGATATAATGTGTGCTATATTAAACAATTGTATACATGTACTGTTACGTATACATGGTTTTTTACTGTCTTTTACTGTCCCCAGCAAGTGCAAGTGGAACTCCCCGTAATAAAAGACAAGGCTCTCGGGCGGCAAAGCGTGGGGTTACATTCAAGGCAGGTCTCATTGCTGACAAGGAGCATGAGGCGTATTATGGCCCTCTGGTGTCCCTTGATGAGGTTGGTACACATATCAATAAGTTGGTCTTCTAGCTCGAAAGTCATACTAGATCACTTGTTGCCTCAGCTGCAATAATCAATGATAACAAATACCCTTTGTATAATACAAATTCCAGCTCAACAGAAAGCTCTTGGGGTTTTACAATCTATTATTACCCCAGCAGACCTGATAGCATTCTTAAACAATGTCAACTTCCTGGGAAGCATACAGTGCAGGCTGCCATTTTACAGGCACTAAAACTATTGAATATAAAATGCTGCTTTTTTATGGGAAATGAAAAGTTATATTCAGATTCTAGTTAAATATGCCACAACTTAAATTGAGACTTTGCATGCCAATTTTTGGGCATATGGAGTTATTGATATAATCATAAAGCCTGTTCATTTGCCTTGGTGTTGATGAAAAAAAATTATCCTTAAATAAAAGTCGATATATTTGTGACGGAAATAGGTAGAAGTTTACCTGGTGTCAGAGGTTAAATTACCGAAAAAATTAACACCAAAGTTTGATGACTTCCAAAGTTTGGAACTCCTTGGTAACTGAAAATGATCAACGTTTTTCAGTAAAATCCACCTAGAAATGTGTTTTTAAGTGGACCAAACAGATATTGAGCCCCCCAAAAAACAAAAACATCTATACAAATTGTCTAACCGGTGGAAAAAAGTTGCCTTTTGACGAGGGCCTGATTTCACAACTGTGACACACAGATAACATTATCAATGGTTGTAAGTATCATTAAAATTTTGATAATTTGTCATTAGACCAGTCTTTTAGCTGTCAAGAAGCATGAGGCTTACTTCACTTCTCTGGTGTTCTTTGACAAGGTAGGAGCCAGTAGACTGGTATAGTTTTGGGGCAATCTTATACTACCCTGATTTTTACTTTGGCTGTCAGTGGCAGAGTGATTAGGATGTTCAGGCTCATAGATAATACCAAGCAATAACATAACAGTGTTATATAAGAGAGCAAGTGTTGTTCTTTATTTGAATTATACCTTGTTCAAATTGTCACAGTTAGATTTGTTTGTGAGTCATCCTATCCTGAATCATATTCTTTGTTTTATTTCTTAGTACATTATGTATGTGATTGAAGAACTTGTATTTATTAATGCTTCTTTTGTACAGATCAAAGGAAACAACAATATGCTCACGGATTTGATCTTCAGCAAGTACTTCATGGCATGTCACACAGAGACTCATGGCTTTCCTACTGAAAAAGGTAAAGTGATGTCTGTAAACGTTTTGTTTGGTATGAACAAAACATCCCTTTAAATCATGTAAGTGTATCTTGGAGATAGGTGATCTGAATTGTGTTGATTGGGAAGTAAAAACGTCTGTATGTTAAATAATAATATTTAAGGATAGGACAAAATCAAGCAAATGGATAGCAGTAAAGAATCTCGAAACAGTCACAGTATAAGAGTATTAGAACACCCTATTTGGGGACTTAGTCCTGAGTCTTCTTTGTCATAGTCCAGGATGCTCAAAGTAATTAATGAAAACACTGGAAATAAACATTTGTTTTTAAGGTCAGTGAAAGAACATTCTAAGAAAAATCAAGGACGATGGCTAAAAGAAATAATATGAGATGCAGTTTTTCTACTATGCATTTTTTGTGTCATGATTTATCTAATATTAAGGGATAGCTTGTTAACAAGCCAGTCAGTGTCGTCCTGTTTTCCCTCCTTTATTACAATTTTTTGGTTCAGCCATATTATCGTCCTCTCAATAGTTAAATATAACTTACACATATTTCTTCTATATACACATTCATCATGTATCAGTCCCAGATCGGTGCATTTTTCTGATATTGCTGCTTTTTACATTGTGAATGTTTGTTCGAAGTAATTTTATTTGACTTGTATATTGAACAAGCTTTCAGAAAAAACATTGTGCAAAGCTTTAAAAGCTGTTATCATTTGTTTTCAGTAACTCTATATGAGGTAATATATTTCCATGATTTAGTTCTTCTTTTGTGTTGTGAATTTCATCAGTGACAAGAATTTTGTCAGTGGTGTTAGTTTTTCAAGTCTCATTTGTTCGGGTCAGTTTGTGCATGCCAACATGAAGCACGTTCCACTCAATGTGTTGTTCACAGATCATGCCACATAGATATGAAGTAAAGTGTTTCTACAGGTTGACATGTCACAATAGACTTTTGAAATTGACGTCACACTTCTTTTGAGACTTCCTTCCAGTGATTACTTGATGCTTGTGAAAGAGTCACCAGAATTATTCTACAAGCTTTTTCTTTCTCACTTTTAATATCCTTTGTATTTTCCACTGCTGTTTTTGTTGTTTGTGCCAATGATTTTTTAAAACAAAGTGAAGATTTTTCATTCATGCCTTTTTAGAAAGCATATAATAATATTTGGAGCCATGCAATAAAATAATTAGGCTTGTCTGTTTTTGAGTTGTTGGCCAAATCCTCAATTTTTTCAACACTATGTGTTTTTCACTCCCTAACTTCCAGGGACAAAACTTTGGAAACAATGTAGTTTAACTAGTACTGTTTCAACCCGCTTGTAAGGCTTGAACAGATCTTCATCTGAAAGCCCATAATTTATATTGTCAAAATGTGACCTGAGGCTTATTTTATCACCTTTCTAAACATATTCATACACATTCATGAAATAGTTTTTTATGTGTCCATAAATAAAGTTCTTATTTAAAGAAATGATCGCTTTGGCAGTCAGGTTTTGTTGAATGATCAGGCCCATTAAAGACATCTAGGTTTAAAAGGAACAAGGAAAATCTATTTCGGATTCCAGGCTCAACATATTATCTTACTTCATAATTTATGGAACTAAATGATTGGTGAGTTTAGAAGAATATATGACATTTCAGAATAATAAACAGCATTCAGATATATCATGCTGAGGTAGCAGTTTTGATTGCTAAACATATTTCAAGGGTGTTTTAAAAAGCATAAGTTTTAAGTTTTGATACAACATAATTTCCCTTTGTAAGATCAATGAATTTATTTTTGTTATCATCATTCTAGAAAGTATGCAGTCAGCTAATTTTTTGTGTATTTTAGCATCCTGATTTCTTTTTAAAAAATTTCACCTGCACATTAGGCTACATGGAAAATGGAGAGGAGGTCTTGGCCGATGCCTTGCAGACATGTCTGTCTCGCTACAATGATGGTACCTCCCAGCGACTGGAACTTGTGTTTTTCTCTGAGGCCGTCCGCCACGCTGCTCGGCTGAGTCGTGTGCTGGTGAGTTGTAATAGAGGAGACCCCTTTTACTCTTAGTACTCTGCAAGTATGTGCTTCAGAGTACTCGTCTTTGACTTTCTGTGCACTGAACACACACCTCAGTGTGCAGTGGTGCTAATCTAGCAATTGATTAAAGGGAGCTCTGGTGCACAGGCCCTATAAGGCTCAGAGGTGGGGGGGAGGGGGGGAGGGGGGGGCAGGGCTCAAATTAAAAGCAGGCAAAGGTGCACTACAAGACAAGATGGGTCTCTCATGCACAAGAGATACAAAAATAAAATGTTATCAGTTATGCTGGTAGCTACATATGTACTGTTGCGAATAAAATGCTGTTTTTAGGAGTGTATGTCTGGTGTACAAAGTTAGAACAGCAGCAAATATTGCTTCAAGAGAACGTCTATTTGAGGACTGAAACAAAAGTTTTTGCATGGATTTATTATAATCTCTCACAGAAAACTGATCTTGCCTCACCATTTAGAAATCTCTTAATGAGCTGATCATTTTTTTTGTCTACGCATAATCCTGTTCCTCTGATAATTTTGCTTTCTCTCTCGACAGGCCCACCCAAAAGGTCATGCACTTCTCTTGGGCATGAGCTACTGTACCGGTCGTGCCACTGTGGCGCGTCTCGCCGCATTTGTCGGACACTGCAAACTGTACGAGCCCAAGCCTCAGTCAGCCTCTGAGTTGAACCTGCGTGTCGTGAGAAGACATATCAAACTCAGTTGTTTCCACGCAGGCATCACGGGCAAGCCCACAGTGCTTTTGGTACATGAAGACCTAGGGGAGGAGTGTCTGCAGGACGTCAGTGCTGTCATGGCAGAAGGTGACTGCCCTCACACTCTCTTCTTCCTTCCGTCCTTCCTTTCTTCTTTCTTTATTTCCTTCTTTCCTTCCTTCCTTCCTTCCTTCCTTCCTTCCTTCCTTCCTTCCTTCCTTCCTTC